AGACTTGTTTTTCTACTTCTTCCAGTTAGGTTTTCAAGTACGATTATGCCTTTCTTAATGAACTTCATAGCCTTAAATGGCACAAGCACTAAAGTGAAGTAAAACATAATATCTGGTAAACAACACCATGACACAGGCTTTGGTGAAATTTGGGATAATATGTAATTTAATCTATGTATTTCCAATGCAAATTGAGAGTCTTCTCTGACATTTTGGCATGCTGGTATGAAGAAGATCAAAGCGTGCTGTTTGGTATTTCCAAAAGAGGGCAAGCATGTGTACTATCGGCAGCCTATGGACATGTTACCCAGGTAGCGCAATATCACTGAAAGGGTACAATGTCTATCTTCCCACAAATGCAACCTTTTATATCTCACCACGTTGTCTGAAAATATTACTAAAATAATTTTTAGAAATTCAGACACTCCAAATAAATATGTATATCTATCTATCTATCTATCTATCTATCTATCTATCTATCTATCTATCTATCTACCTATCTATCTATCTAGTGAGTATGCATATGTGATGAGAAGTATAATTAGAAGTAGAACAATGTATTAACTTTGGGGGGAAAAACAGTTGTTGGGAAAAATTCATTGCAGAATGCCTAGAGTACATGCATTATGATGTATAGGTGTGTTAGAGGGAAATCCTCAGGAAATTGGATGTTCAGGGAGAAAAATCTAGAATGAAGCTGCAAAGAAAGGTTTATGTTGGCATATAGCAGAAAAAGTTCCTTTGTGAGAAAATGTCCTGTTTTTCAGTTTTCTGTTGCTTAAATAACCATAAAAGGAGCCTCGTGTCACAGCACTTTAAGCATCATGTTGCCAACCGAAACCTGTACCACGAACCACTCCACTGGAGATACATGTGGCAGTCTGTTTGTAAAAGTAAATTAATAAATAATAGATATACATATATATTTAAAAACTCACTGCCATCAAGTTGATGCCAACCCATAGTGACCCTATAGGACATGGTAGAACTGGACCTGTGGGTTTCTGAAATGGTACCTCTTCCATGGTGTAGAAAGCTCTGTCTTTTTCCCAAGGAGCTGCTGGTGGTTTCAAACAGCTGACCTTGAGAAGATCACAGTCCAATAACACACACACACACACACATTCACACACATCATTTGCTCAGAATCAGGGTGGAGACTTAATTCAAAAGTATATTAATCTTTTGAGATAATGTGGCAAATATTATTATTTAAGTATTTTTGAAGAAAAACAATATTGTGAAATCTCTTGAATAAACAAGTTTTAACTGGTAATTGTTATATGCAATCAAGAAAGCTTACACTTATTTTTATACGCCTGTTTCGCTGTACCAATAAGTCACAGTGGTGGTTCTAGGTGAGACACGTAGTACTATGTGAATCCAGAAGCCTTCTGGAGGCTCCGCGTTTTCAGTTCATTAAGCGTTTGTTTACAAGTGTCAGCAGACTGGCGTTTGGCATAGCTTACCCCCCATTCTCATGCTGTCAATGCCATTAGAGTTTCACAGGGATAAGGAACATCACATGAACTGAGAGAATTGCTGAAGGCTATGGAACGCTTCCAGCATCCCCTGTCTTTCATGGAAAAATTGATATATTAGACATAATAAATACTGCATAACCTTCAGGCTTTTGCCAGTGGAAGTTGAAACTGAGAACTTTCCCTTTTTATTATCATTAAATTATTTGTTAACCCTGCGATCTCCAGCTCTATTCAGCTCAGCGATGTACTTAAATCACTGACTAAGGAAGGGCGAACATTATGTGGGAACAAAACATGTTGTGGGGACAAGACGATTGATGTGTGGTGTGTAGCGTTCATTAACAACCAGCAACAAAGGATTCCGTTTACAAACGTTGGTAAGCACTGCAAGCCTTCACATTTCCTTCCAGTGCTCCAAGCCTGATTTTATTTTATTATTATTTTTATTTCTTCCTCTTCTTGGCCGGAGCAAGTTTCTGCCGCAGCGACTCTCTCCAGCGGCTCAGAGAATCAAGGGAACGGAACAGGGACACCAAACAGGCAGCCTTTCCCATCCACATAAGCCCCAGAGAAAGTGGAAAGTTTGGCTAGCAAGGGCAGGAGGTTCGTGTATTTTCTTAAAACGATTGAGTGGATTCATTCCATCCACCCCGGCCCACCCAACGCGCCCCCACCTCTCCGATGGCCACTGCCCCCTGCCTCCACCCGGTCTTCCTGCGGGAGCCGCGGCAGCGGCGCTCAGGAGGGTGTGCAGAAGCCAGGGTCCTAGCAAAGGCTCCTGCAAGGCCGCCGAACGCGTTGACCGTCGTTCTATCCAGGACCGGGGGCTAGTGGACCTTGAAGTCCAAGGGAACCCACGCAGCACCTAAGCTTGGATCCTGTCGCCTCAATTGTTGCAGCTGACCCCAGGAACCAGCCCAGTGCAGGGGGCGGCCCCGCACCTCTCAGGGCGTTGATATGCAAAGGAGTTACGTCAGATGGCGGGGGCGGGGCGCCCGAGAGAGTGGCAGCAGCGCTTGCTTTGGGAGGAGGCGCGAGAATCAGCCTGGTTCAGGGACTGAGACAAACTGCAGGTGAGGAGAGCCACTGCGAGGAGGGTGCTGAACCTGGGACGCGGGCTGGGCGCTCCAGCGCTTCGAGGCAACGCCCTCTTGCACCCTCTGTGTCCTGCGGGACCCGCTTCACCAGCAGGACTCGTATCAACTTGACAAAGGAGTGTGGCTCTTGGACGTGGGAGTCTTCCGTCTGCCACCTGGACGCCCATTCAGGCGTGACTTTGGCGATTTCTATAGTTTTAGACCTAACTATGTTGGTCTTTTCCCAGCAAAGACGATCATTTTAGCTGCGTGTTTTGATTTACACCCCCCCCCCCTTTTTTTTTCTTTTTAAATGTGATTTATCTATCCACACCCTTTAGGAATCTTTCTGGGGGACTTTTTTGACTGTTAAAATAAGGTAAGAGAAAGAATATTGTTATAAATGATTATAAGTGTGGAAGCAATGGCAACTGCCACCCAAAAAATTTAAAAACAAGTTATGCTGTGATCATTTAAAGAGAAGTTTATGCTCATTTTTATAATTTGAAACAGGACCTTTGGCAATGCTTGCAATAATTATATTGCTAAATGCTGTTATCATAATTATTATAAGAGGATCTATTGAAGACTATGCATAGAATTCTAGCGGGGAATTTAAGGGCTTGTGTGTGGATAGTTATGTGTGTGTGCCCGCGTGTCATGCCACATCATGCTTTATAAATATAAATATTTGTAAAGCCACACTTCCCGCATGGCTAAAGGACCAGAGCCATTTATGAAAACTCCTAGATATGTTAGCAATTGGCATTAATAACCAACCAAAAAGTTGCTTTAAAATAAAGCAATCTAAGAAGGAAACAACATGTGTGAATGGTTTAATCTCTGGCTAATATAACCCCCAGTAGCAAAAGCTTAGACCACGAAGCCAAGTGCAGTGCTCTTTGCACACATTTGGAAGGAGAGTGCTAGAGATCGAGGCATTTGTATCATGCTGGGTTCAGTTGGATGTGCTGACATGCAGTCAGTCCAAAAAATCCCCTAACTTGTGAAACTCAGTATGTGAGAATTCCCCACCCCAAGGTCATGTATATCTGCCAGTTGGGGGCTGCTAGTTCTGTTGTTGATTAGTAGATGCCATCCACTCCCCATCCTTCAGTTTAGAGTGTATGTAAACAGGAAGCTCTGATTTAATAATACAGTATTAGCTTGTATTCTAGTTGCTGCTTCTGTTGGTAATTGAATGGAACTGGGAAGCGTGGGCTGAGAAAATGTCTCACTATTTCAGTAATGTTTAACCTCTTGAATGCTTTTTACAGAAAGCTTTTTTTTTCTACTTAGGGGATTTTCTTTTGAAGCTATGTTCCTTTTGTCAATTGCCAGCACACTCCAAGTGTGTATGGAGAAAGAATTCAGGGCAAAAATTACAAAAATGAAACATTCAACGGTGCTTGTAGTAGTGAGTGAGCAATTATTATATGATAGAAGTTATCTGGGGTTCCTGGTATTTATCACTTCCTCCTGACTTCCTTTGGACAGCCATAGTGGTTTATCTGACAAATTGTTCATGTTCCCACCTACTTATTATTCGGTGACATTAGATTAAGTATAAATAATAGATGGGAAATATGGGCTGGGGAGCGAAACTTTCCTTTATATTCCTGGGAGAGAGCTCAGACTGCAGTTAGACGTCTGGACTAAAAATGATATTAACTATAATAATGAATGAAGTGGAAACATGTTTTCGTACTTAATAAGTATTGTTCAACAGATTCGGGCTATACTTTCCAGATATTAACTATGGTGAAATATTTATGCATTTAAATGATAAAATATTGTATTCTAGTTGCACTAGAGTAACCAGGACAACTTTTGCTTTAAGAATTTATAATTTGAAATAATAGCCACCCGGGTGGAGGCTTTTCATTTTATTTATAATACAACCTTAATACATGTGCCTGATTGTTAAAATAAATGCAAAAATAGAGTTCTAATGTAAATCTGAGTTGCTCCCCTGTTTTCCTCCCCCCGCCCCCCCATGTTTTACTTTATGTAGCTGGCCTGTTTAGGATTCTTGTCAGTCATGTGATCTTATGTTACATATTCATAGAAATATTTGAAGGCTGAGGAGGGACGGAGGGAAAGGAGGACAGAAGCAACATTAGGTCAGGGAGTTCAAGCTGAGCAGGCTCCTTCAAAGGTGTATAGACCCATTTTCTAATTCAATAACATATGAAATTCTCCTTTTAAAATGAATTATATCTTTATCCATAGTCAGAGCGTTAAATGGGAAGCACACGGAATTATGGCTTCTCTGGATTTCAGCGTTCATTTTGTTATTAAGCATTCATTTTAAAATTTAGAATTAACTAACTTGAAGCCTACTAACTGACAAAAGTACTATATTCTCTCAGATAATGTTGAGTATCTTATTGACTTCTTTTAGCCCAAAGTTTTCTAAAAGACATGTTCTTGTTCTCGTGTAAACAGTTACCTTGAATTACCATTGTGTTTGCTTGTTTGTTTTTCCTCAAGAAATGTAAGAGTTAGGTGGACATGCACTAGAATTAAAATATACTACTTGTGACAAGGAAACAGGTACAAGGTCAGTGGGATTTCAAATTTGAAATGCCAGAAGAATGGCCCCTCATTTATGCACACATTTATCTTTTTAAAACTTTACTCCAGAAAAAAGTAAAACAAGGTTTTCTTTACAAGTTGTACCATAGCATTTAAGCTATATGATTTGGACATGCAATGGGATTCCTACCATAAACTAATAAACTTGCCAACAGGAAAGCAGCTTTGAGAGATTCAAGGATGGTGGCCCTTCATTCATTCTTTCACCACTCTTAGAAAAAGATGACCGTACTTTAAAGTGACCTGAACTTCATGGGAAATGCAAAGGAGTATTCAATGGCATGACACTGGCTAGCTTGCTAAAGCATTCATTTCATTTCAGAAGCCAAGTAATAGTATAGATGTCTAAGAGATAATGCACTCTGGCCAGGACTCTCTATAGTAAATACTGAAATAGATGTTAATGTCATATGTTGTTGTATTTATTAACATCAATTTTAAGGTACATTGATTGAGCTAAAATATACATTTAATAAAATGATGCTGGCAAATAACCTCATTTTCTTGAAAAATAACATCAATTTCCATATATGTCTGGTAAGATTAGGGATAATGTAATATAATTTGAATTTTCTGTTTTAAAGATTATATGTTGTTATTTTTGCATGTTTTTGTTTACTACTATCTGCAGTAGAATGTAAAACAGACAATAATAAATCTGAAACATTTAAACATACTAAGCAAATTTTTTATAATAATAATAACAACAAAACTTTAGAAAATGAGACTTAACTGATTATGTGCACTAAAAACTATTGGGAATTGTCTCTGAATAATGGCCTTTTTGCTAAATAATGTTAAATGCTCATTTATGGAGATCAAAAGACTTTATTAATATGCTCTCAATAGTCCTTCATATTTATCTGAAATTGGCATCCTAGTATTTTTTCTTTTGTCTTTTTAGCATAATATAAAGTTCAAAAGAAAAAAAAACAAGCTTCCTGTCTTAGCATCATTCTAGCATCCATATAACCAATTATCCCTTACCAAACAGACTTAATCATGTTCTGCTTCAACACCTACCATGTCCCTTGGGCATAATCTACTTAAGGTGATCTGAAGGGACCCAGTGGAAAATCCCACTTTTCCAATTAAATAGGTAACCACACAACACACCGATTGGTCCCTCAGTGCTTTAAATCACCGAGGTGTAAAGGTGAATATTATTATAATTCTTAAGACAGTTTTTTGAGAGAGTTTGCATTCCAGTGAGTCTTATATGAGTTTTCTGAAAGAGAAATAATTGAACAATAGTATCGATGATGCAATGATATCACTGTGTCAAACAACAGTATCAATAATGTAATGAGAGTTGGACTTTTGTATATGTGTTGGTGATTTATATGTCTGTCACTGTGTGTGTGAATGAAAGGGCCTACAATTTTCATGGAAACATTGTATTATCTGTTAGTCGCATTTTCCCGTGAACTTTTGAATGATGTTGAAGGCTTCAGAATCAATTCCAAGGCAGTGAGTTTCATGTATATATTTATCCGTGGTGTGCTGCAGTAGGTTCAGTGGCGGGCTGCTAACAATAAGGTTGGCAGTTCAAACCAACTTTCCCCATGGGAGGAAGATGAGGTTATCTGCTGCAGTAAAGTTCCACAGTCCAAGAAACCCCACGGAGCAGTTCTGCATTGTCTTACAGGGTCACTAGGAGTCAATATCACACGAAGGCAACGACGTATACATACACACACATAGACCTTCAGACTTGCATACACACACATATATTCACTTACTTTTTGCTAGATTCTTCTTGAATAGAAAATTACAATGGTGATAAGTGCTTTGGAAATACTATTTAATATAAAAGTAGTTTATAAAACTTGTGAAACCATGTACTTTTAAGTGGAAAATATGCCTTCTAAGTATCACTATATTTTATTTAGGTTACTCTGTTTGATCACACACCTATTTTTTTTTTTGGCATGGGAATGTGGGTCAGAAGTTTTGGCAAGGGAAGGGGCAATTGGAAGAAAAAAATTGCCAAGAATAAGTAACTACATGAATGTTGGCCTACTTGAGATTAAAACCCTACATTTGTTTTGAACAAATATGATTTCTGATAAAGGTTCTGAAAGCTACTGCCTATCAGAGAGACGTGCGCTTTACATCTCTGCTATCTTAGTGTAATAATGTTAGACATGTACAGAGCCAAGATGTGCCTATATCTCATGTGTGTGTTTGTGCTTGTTCCTTGTGTGTCAGTGTTCCCAGGAACAAACATGATGAACTGTGGGAAGGAGCGGAGCTTCACACTGAACTCTCTTTCTTTAAAACCAAGTAATTCATGTTAATTTAGTGTGGCTTTTGGTATTACATTATGTAAATCTCCAAGGCAAGGTGGTTGCTTTGTGAGCTCATTTGCATGTCAACACAGAGAATATTTTTCCAACTTCTAAGTAGTTCATAGCACGGCTGGCAGATTCTGAAGCAAAACCAAAAGACTTGAATATGCTTTTTTTCTTTGAGTTTTATTTAACTGTATTTATTATAATTGACAATGAAGAGAAACATACCTTAGTGGCACCTTTTCTCTTTCAGTAGAGCCAGAGTACAAAGAAAGACTTACACCGTTACATTGGGTAGCAGTTACTACATACAGGTCTGATCTAGATTCCCCAAAGATGATGATGAAATGGAGACAATTTGTCATTCATGGTTGGATAACTTCCAAAAACACATTAGATATTATTTTAATGACCACCAAGACCTTATTTCCTCCTAGCTCCCTGACAGTAAAGGGCCGGACTCACATCAGACAAATGCCTGCCTGCC